AAGTTCCAGTTTTAACCGTATTGTGGAATTAATGTTCTTGCAGATTTCTTTACATGGAGCAAAGTATATTTTCACTATCGCTTAAACAGTTATTTTTAAAGTTTATTCAATTTTTTTTTGGTTTTACAGATACCAACGAATGTCTTGATGAAAATCGGTGTACTGGTGAACATGTTAAGTGCATTAATACAGATGGTTCATACGAATGTATATGTGAGAAAGGCTTTGTCAAAGGCTCTAAGGGTATTTGTGAAGTTGACGTTAAAGGTATGTCTCGATTTTCTTTTTGTAGAAAAACCTTCTGTTTTTTTTTTTTCTTTTTTTTTTTTTTTTATTTTCTCGCTTAAAAATATTATAGAAGTGTCCTCCAGGTTTAATTTACTTTATGCTTTGTTGAAATAGGTGTTGTTTTTAAGTATGTTCTGGTATTTGCCAAATATATGTGGCAAAATTTTTAATATTTAAATTCATGTATATTGTGACACTTACTTGTAAGTCTTGTCTTATTCTAGAGGCGAGAACACGCTGCTGTTTCTCGGTTTAATTTTACCCTAATATATATAACCAACCTTTAGAAATGTTAAAACATAGGAAAAATTTTTTGAAAACACTATCACCGTTTTGTCCTTATATGTTCTTCTTGAGGTAAATAGCATGACGTTTTTTTTTTTATGGCATAATACTTTACAGCACATTAGGCTGATCAAAATCGGTATAATGTTATATTCACACTTTTATGGTGATCTCTGTTTTGTTTTATATGCCTAATCTTTTAGTATTCTAAATGTAAAAGCTGCTTTCATATTAGCATTTTAAAGCTGTTTAACAATAATTACCATGGAATTGTTGGGTACTTAATGTGAATGGTGATGCGGTGATGCTAAAATATCAGATTTTGTTGACAGTATTCTTGAGTGTTGGTACATTTTATTATAACATTTACTGCTGTAATGCTTTTCAGCTTCGCCTGGGAAATTGTGGGTACGACCAGACAGGTTACTTCGTTCGTTTTCGATTACAGGCCTTTGTATATTAGTAATAGTGGTCATTTGGCGGCGGTCATTCAGTTTATTTGTATTCGCTGCTCTGTGTGCACTCATGGCTTTGTTCATTGAATTTTATTTTGATCACAGCACACTTTCTAAAATTCCACATTCCTTGCTTTGATCTACTAGCTGTTTCAAAAATTGTCCCAGACGTCTTATCCTCGTTTCATCTGGAAGCTTCTCCCATTTTCTGTTAATCTTTATATAAATTGATGTGTAAAGCGAAGTACAGATTTGCATAATTACTGACTAAGAATTGTTTTTGATTATTACCTGCATGAATACGATTCAGCACGTGAATTCGTCAAATCTGATTTTCAACAAATGAAATTCACTTTCTGCTAAAAACAGCAGAAATGCAAGATTAGATGAGTTGTTCATGGGAAATACTTGCAATTTTTGTTTTTTCATAAATTTCTTTATATATTTTATGATTTGCCAATATAGCTTTTTACAGCACCTAGTGCGATTAATGAGGAAAGGGCCAAAAATAGGAAGAGCAGTGGCAATTTAGAGAACTTCGAAATCGATATTACGACGAAAAATTTTGAGAACCCGCAAAAGGATTTGTCGAATTCAAAAGTGGAAAGTGAAAGAAATCACAAGCGAAATAGTCAGATTTCCACGACGGATGAATTATAATTCATATATTTTTTTGGCAAAAATTTGTTGATATGTTTTGTCGGGGTGATTCATGAAAGTACTGGCATCTCCATATTGTTGACCTATTGTTTACAAAATTATTTTTTTTTTTTTAACTCATTCGAAAATACACATAACACAGTTATTTTCCATTATATTGGGTGAAGGAATATTAGAACTTTTAACTCAGCAACAGCTTTTATTTTTATGTTTGAATTGGGAAGTGTTTTGCTATTTTTATAGTTCCTATAAATTATTGCTCGCTGTCTTTTTTCGTCAGAAATTTCACTAATCATAAAAGAAATTTGATCGCTTAACTGTTATACTGTGTTAAGTAGAGACCTCACATATTTCAAGCATGTTGTTGTAAATGATTTTTATTTTTTGCTTACTGCCTTCGTTAAATCGATGGCCACGCTTTCTTGTGATTACATAGTACGTTGCATGCGTTGAATCCCAGCAAGGAACTTCGTACCTTAATTATTGTTGAGATAACACTTTTTGGGAGTTAAGAATTTTTTAACAATACCACACTGTTAAGGAAAATAAATTGCAGAAATATACTCCATCAGAAGTGAGAGATATAGATGGTAATTATGGTAGTTGTAAATGGAGTGAGTTGATGATATCTTGTGGTTAAGATGACATTACTATAATATGCTTTGGCAGGGACAGTGATTACATTTAACAAGTGTCTACATTTTCTTTAGAAAAAACAACTCGATGTTAAATAAAGGATTATATTCTTTTAATCACTCCGTGAATATGCCTACTTTTAATTGTAGTTGCAACACTGAGTTTTATATCAGGTTTTCATGATGGGAACATATCGCTACACTTCATTTCTTTTTATATGAAAATATTTTCCGAAGTTGACTGGTTGTGTAACTTTCCTTTGGAATGAGATTAATTCTGGGTCATAATATTTCTGGATTCACTATGTTTTCGAAATGGATTGAGGTAGTTTTATGTGCCAATTATTATTTAAGCATTTTCTGTCGCTTGGGTAAATGTCTGGAATCTGTTGCGGCTACGTTCAGTATCTTAACTTTTCCTACTTGTCCGATGTGGAGCAACTACACTCTATGCTGCTTCCATTGATGAAAATATCTTTAACCAATTTGTTTGCTGCTGCCGTTATCGCTCATTGATTTTTGTCTGCTTTGCACCTCTGAACCCTTTTTCTTTGCCCGTTTTTATATTACTAATGATTGTTGTTCTGTTGTAATAAGGTCTAACAACTTTTTTGGTGCTTTTCGTTTAAACTATTGTTGGTAATAACGCCGCTGCTTCTAGAAATCGTCTCAGCTTTCATTTGTGTTCTTTATTTTTGTGTTTTAACTGTGACTTAGGGATATATGTCACCATTGCTAGTCAGTAACTTGTTCCTTCATCTTCGGGTTGTTATTCGGACAGTCTTCAATGACCAAGAAAAACACATGTTTAGTAATCATGTTGTGTAGAGAAACAACTGAGTTATAAGTGACAGAGAACTTTTACTCTGAGTATCACAAGTTCCTGGTTTTCATCTGATATGCTTAACTGTTAATCATGCTAGATTGTTTCTGCGTGAACGGTGCTAATTCTTGTTTTCTTTCCAATTTCTCATTTTTTAAAATTTAGTATAAGGATTGTCACAACTTAAAATATGCCACAAAATCAGTTGACAGAAAGGGAAAATAGTGTAAAGCATACACTTTTTACACTAACTTTACTCATAACAGCAAGCTTTAATGGTGTGTTTTTCATCCTTACTCTTAATATTCACTATCCACTTAATAGTACTAATATTACAGAGAGCTTACATAGATGGGGAACTCTATCTGAATATCGGGCAGTTGCATAAGGGAATTAGGATTGCATAAGAGAATTAAGAGGTAATTAAGCTCCACATTCTACCACCACTGCTTTGTTTCTTGGAATAAGAGTTCTTATATGCCATTTTGAACTCGAGTAATACTGATAATATAAAAGTATAGTGGTTAATGTCAGTGGAATTGTTTCCGGCAGAACCATTTGCTTCACGTGGACGAAGTTTTATTTCATAATGACTTTGATTAGTTAGCTTTGTCATTTGTGAATGAAGTTTTGGTAATCTTTGCCAAAAATATGCCAATGACATTTTCTTTTGATACTGCTTTTAATATGCTATACATATAATTCAGGTTATTCCCTCTCTCAGGACTGTTTATCATTTACTTTCCTTATCCGTGATAATCCTATCATTTTATTATTTTAACTAACCGTGATGGCAGATTTAAAAGTTCCACAATCGTCCGCTAGCGTATTGCAAAAATATAGCAGAAGTCTTGCATTTTTGCTAATCGTTTTTTTGTTCTGGGCAGGGTGCATTATTTTTCTGTTGTACTGTTGTGAATGAAACTGTTTCTATTATTACCATAAATTTTGAACACTTTCAGGAAATGACCTCTAGTACGATGGGTGTTAAAAGATTGTGTGTGGGAGAAAGAAAGAAAAAAAAAAGGAAATGGGGAAACAGAGGCAATTTATGAATGCGGAGTTGGAATTATTCAGTAATACGTTCAGCACGGTGACTTCATTTCCTGATTGTCCACTTCCTTCTCTTTTGATATTGTTGTCCAGCTCTGCGGGAATATCTACTTTGTTTAACTCTTCCTTTAAGCATAAGATATTCGTGCCATCAACAAAAAACTTCAAATCGATTAAACTGCTTCACCTAACATTTTTTCAGTTTTTATAAAGAAAGTGATTTATGATTTGCGAGTAATTCCCAGTGCTACTCTAACTTCAGTGTTTTGCCTTTCATCAATAGGAAAAACGAAAGTGTCGGACACGAAGATATTTCAAATTATTCAGAAACGTTTTTTCTAGTACACAGTGATAATCATGACAATAATGAAAAATGAATAAGATAGGTGAGTTGCTGATTCACTAGCAGTTTCTTTAAAGAGATCACAAATTCCAAGAAAGGAAACAGAAGTGAAAATTTATTTATAGGTAATTCAAAGAATCAAGGAGAGTCCACTGCAGCATCAGCTTTTTCTGATATCAGGGAAAACTTGGAATGGTGTAAGAGGCATGCCTCCATGAACACTGCCCTTACTTCATGTTGTCTGTGTTCCTCTCAAAAAGGGCTGGTTTTTCAATTTAGTATTTTTTAATTGTTTCGTGGCGAATGTTTGTGCTTGCAGTCCTTACAGTTTCACCATCAAATTGATAACTGTTTATTATTATTGAGTATGTTCCGTGCTGTAAACCATTGGTAAACTAACTCAACAAGTACTCGAGGAGAAGACAATGTATTAAGAACCGCACCACCAATGTGAAGCTATGTCTCTTACAATAAACTTGCCTTTCTCGCATTGGTATTTTCAACTACAGACTAATTTGCAACAACCGTGGTTAAATCCCTTCACAAATCTTTCTTCGCGAAGCCAAACCAAGAATGAGAAGGTAAGTTCATGCCTTATGAATATAGATTAGATCGCTATTCAGTTTCACATTCAAATAAGTACTGTTTTTATATCCTAACTGAAATTTGTCCATTGATGGCTATTGGTGTATTCATTGAACATTCGATAGAACAAATGCTCAATGAAGTAAAATGTGCAGCTGTCAAATACAGTGCCTGCTTGGGCTATCTTTTTCATACTTTTCAAATTTGTCTATTATGTGCTTCCCTTCTTCCTTTTCTGTGCTTTCGCATTTCCATTATCTATATATAACAACGATTGTTCACTCCTTCCAATTCTTTAAAAAATTGAAAGCAGAAGTACTCTATGGAAAGGTGAAATGAAATAGCAAATAGTTGAATCCTTGCTTTTCAATTCATTGATTGTCTAGAAAGTTCGTGACAGTCTTTGTATCACTGATGATTTATGCATGAAAATACTTTGTCCTTCAAATAAAGTTAGAATTGGCTCTAACGAAATCAACTATTATTAAAATCTAATCATATGACTAGACCTTTTTTAGATGATTATTTTCAAATGCGAAATTCACGTCCAATAATATGTAAAACCCGACAGTTTCAGTAATCTTTTTCTTGACTCATAGTTACTAGAAGAATCTGAAATATGCCACACTTAGCATTCCGCTTATTTCAACCTACTGCACTAGTCTGAGTAACTTGTTTTTTATTTTCTAGTAGTTAGCATAATGACAATTATAATAAGTAGCGGTAGTGCCAACATTTAATTCAATTAAAGAAAGACTTGAATGGTATGATCAAGTTGTCATGGAGAGAAACGTCTGTAAGAAGAACAGGATGAGGGTGAGGATCGACTGTACCTGCATCTAATGTACATGTTGATGAGGAGATCGATATATGCGACTGCACCTGCATGTTTTATTTCTCCTTCTTCATAGCCTTGGGTATCTCCAATTTGCTACTTATTGGTTACCATTAGAGGAACTAACGATTGTTTCAGCGTAGTCAGAACAGTGTGTCCTTTCATTTTTCTAGTAAGAAGGAACAGGGCTATCCCTCGATAACAAGTCACTAACAACTTCAGCAGCAGTGCACTGGTCCTTATCGAAGATAGGTCCTCCTCTTTTGCTTTCTTTCCCGGTTTATGCATCCGTTTTGGCCGTATAATGATGTTATGCCATTTCATCGTAGAATTCTATCACTCCCGAATAAAAGTGTTCGACATTTTGCAAGTTTGCCATCTATGGCGCGTATCGCTGTTAGCAAATAAATCTTATCGTCTTTTCACTAGGATACAATTCTAAAGAAACTATTTTTAAAGAGTAGAAATGGTTCCTTTTGTGTGTTCTCCTTTTTTTCCCATTTACTGTCGCTTATTCTCTTTGCTGCCCACCTATGTCTGTTCATACAATCCTCTTCTAGACAGCGGTCGTCTTATCACTTAGCAGAAATTGTGTCATCGAATGGCTATTAAAGAACTGTTAAAGATTTCCTATTCTTATTTTTCGACTCCATATTCATCTGAACTGTATTTGAGAAGTGATTATATAGATCCTAAAGAGTTGCAGAAAAGTGATTAAAATATCAGTGGATGAATGCCACACTTATCCAGTTATCTGGTCAAGCTTGAACTAATATTTGCATGTTATGAACTGTTTATCTGAAAGCTTTCAACTTTTCATTTATTTATTAGTGATCACTCTTTCAAGTTGAGTTTCTGTATTTCCCTATCATAATGTGTTGAATTGACCGTGAACATTTGCACTGATAATTAGCAAAATCCAGACTCTAGATGGGAGTGAGCATGGGGACAATGAACTTCAAATCATATATCATATTAACATGCTGTGTTTTAACAACATAAATCATTGTGAGGGAGTGATATCCACACAAGTTACACCAACTACTGCAATACAACCATTTGTCCCTTCCGAACATGATTAAACTTTAATGGAAGTGACGACACGACATGCCTTTATCACTCGTCACTGTTCTCATTGAAAATTCGATGGAGAAACTCTTCGATCATGGTTTTCTTTCAACGCTATCTTTCCACACACTCTCTGTAGTGTTATTGATTATGTCCCAAGACTGCTTCCCCTGCATACGTCACTTCATCTCTTTCTTTGTCTGCACCCCGCCTTTGTATATACATATATATGTGTGTGTGTGTGTGTGTGTGTGTGTACTATGCATATATGTATGCATAGTCTGCAGGTCTGATTCTCATTGTAAATATGCGAGGATTTAGATCACTGAACTTGTTTGATTTCCTTTTCTCAGGTAAGGTTTTGGGAAAGTCGGGGATTTTTAACAGAGAATAAGCACTGCTTACACTTACTTCACTATAATTTTTTTCTTATTGTTTATTCATTTCATATTCTACAATTTTTCCGTTTCTTACAGCTTTTTACTACTTTTTCCTTCTTTCACAGAATCATCTTTTTCTCGATAGGATTGTTCGAAATGAAAGCTATTAAAGAAGACAGAAGAATAGCGCATTTTCTGGATAAAGATGCGCTATTTTCTAGATTTTTACAGTTTGACAGGTTATAGACATTTGCTTAGAAATTGCTTGGTTTTCTTAAAAAAGATTTTGAAAACTTTCGCAACTTTCTGGAATTCTATGACTGTTTGAAAGATGCTGTACTTTTGATGGTCAAGGGTTAACTAACACTGAAAATTTTTTTAGTAATTCACTTTTCTGGATGAATTCTCCAAGTATTTTGACTTTCTGATTTGCTAAGTTCGTATGTATGTTGAGTGTCTAACATTTATACTGATCCAATAAAATGACGTGGCCTGGCATAGCACGGAAAGCCAGCTCTGTCCTTCAATTCCCATCTTTATTCATCTTGGTCTTTTCTCACTTCGTTTTGTTTATAAAAATAGTTATGAAAATCTTGAATGCCGGGATGAAATTTAGTATCACTAACATCTCAAGAATTAGTGGTTTAAATTTCTTGTTTCCTAAAATAGTTTTTACTTTAAATTACCAAATTTTAATTAAGACTGTTATTTCTTGATAAACATCGGGAAACTTTCTTCCTGTTATCATAATTAGTGTTGCAAATTATAGAACAAATTTCTTAACCATTAATTTGAATTGTCTATTAACATTATATGAATTAATGAAAAGATGTGACTGAATACTTCGGTTTACAGGCATGTTTTCTGACATTCAGTTGCATCATCGGAAAAACAAAGTCTTCTGTTAGTAGACAAAGAGGTAATCGAGGCATACATATTTTTGCTGTATTGAAGGACTTCTTCAGATACTGTCACCATTTAATAATTAAGATTTCAAATGCTTTTTTCTAAAGCAGATGTAATTCTGCTGCTTAAAAAGGATCAGTTACATAACTTGTTTTTTATTCCGGATAATGTTTTATTGACCAGAAAAACAGTTAAATTTTTATAAAACTATTTTGTATAATAATTATTGGTGTGATTAAGAGCTTTAGTAGTTCTTTCATCCTTGATTTAGCAAATAAAAAAATGAACAGACCAGTAATAATGACTGTTTCTAACTAAGCTAATTTAGTCGGAGTATTACGAATTAAATCTTGAAGTTTCTCTCGGCTTTTTATTCTCGTTTACATCAAAATAACATTTGGCTTCCTTGGACTTTCTTGGAATTGTGCTTACAATATTGGCCATGGATGAAATCAGGAAATCAATTGGGACTGGTAATTTCTCTAGTAATTATCGCAATCCACTCACCTATTCACATGTAAAGATTCTATATGCAATAATCAGTTAGGATTTTCTGAAGATAAGCGGTGGGTGGCTGGAGGCATATGTCATTTAGGCAAGCAGTTCCAAGTGAAAGTTGAGTATAAGTGATTAGAAGACATAGAAAATTGAATTGGCTGTTTAAATAATTTTGCATAAATTTGTGTCAACAGTTATTAATTTATGTGTTACTTTAGTGGTTAACTGGTCGAATTTTTTAATGTCTCCTGGAAGATGGTAGTGCTCTGGGTATTCACAACCTTCAACTTGAATAATTATCATTTAATATGTTGTGGATGTCGAAGTTTCACATAAATGTTCAGCTTATCACTTGTAATGCAATGTTTTCAATTTCTAGAAGAAATGGAAAGCACAAAAATTGGATCTCCAATTTTTCGGAGTTAGCAGTCATCGTTTTGATTTTGATGGTTTAGTTAATGGTGGGATAAGGGTCTTAAGTTTTGTTGTGCTTTTGGACTTGAAGTTCGAAAAGTAACTATTTGCGATAGTTCAATAGAAGTTAAGGACTGTTAGTTGCGGATTGTGTTTTTCCTGTCGATTTATTTTCTTATCTTGTTTCAAGTCATACTGATAAAGAAAATATTTAAATTTAATTTGTTGGCAGGGTTACTTGGTGTAGGAATTTTTAATTTTTTTGTTAGTTATTTTGTAAAATTAGCAGTTTATCTGGACATTTGATATTTTTGATATTCACAGGATACCCGTTTTAGATTCATTGTTCCTCTTTAGGAAAATATTTTCAATCTTTCGAAGTTATTTTTAGCAAATTATATGAATTTTGGTTGGCTTTTACCATTTTTCTTCTGGAAAAATACTGTTTGAAGAATGCTATTTGAAACTGATTATGAGATATGAATTCGTATGTAATATTTACGTCATTGATATTTAAAGAATTTTTTATAAAGAAATAGAATGCGAGATATTGTTGTTTTCAGGAGGATAAACCAAAGCATTACATTTCTTCTTGTGTTTCATCAATGACGAATGTTCCGAAACCACGGCTATGCCGATTGGTTCGTATTTTTGCAAACATAAAATTAAATTCAAAAAATAGTTGTTAAAAATTGTTCTGTAAGCGTTCTTGTTTTTCGATTCATAAACACTCTCAAATATAAAAGGTCTTGAAGAGAATTTTCTTTCAGTACAAAAATCTGTTTGCACCATCTGTTCCATCTGAAATTTCTTTTTAAAAAATTTCAAATTTTGCGCACCTTAAGCTTACCCGGAATGCTGAATCATACAGCATTCATGGCTTTAATTCTTTCTGGTATTGTAATCGAAGTTCAACCGTCTCAGTGGGGTATCTCATGAGAATACTCTAGTATTAGCATGGATGTGATTATTGTTCAGATAATATTGTAAAATAAAGGTAGGTCTGGATACATAATATTCATTATTCCGGTATTTACTTGCAGTTTTTCCTCATATGCTTTGTAATCTGGTGAAAAATCGTATATATTTGATCTGATGCAGAGAAAACGTGATCCGACGGAAGAGTTTGGATTTAATTTACATGCCGAAAAGAATCGAGGCCATTTTGTTGGAGCTGTTGATAAAAATGGTATCGGTGAAAGGGCTGGTTTACAGATGGGACAGAGAATTGTGGGTGTTAATGGTCAACTTATTTATCCAAGCACTGCTCACAAGGTATATAATTTTAACGCATTTATACAAGCTCTGATTTATATGGTTAATATTTTCTGTTCAGTGTACATTTACAATGATTTATTTTGACATTTAAATGGTTTGTTAGTTCGTTGTGCGGTCGAAATTCCCTGCTTTTGATATTCACATTCATTTTAATTCAATATGTGTTAACCTAAGAAAATTTATTCTGAATTTACATCTTCCATTAGGGAACTATAATTTCTATTGTTCTTTTCGTTCAAAAAGCTACTTTATAGGAAGTTGTGTCATTAATAAAAAAAAATCCATTACGAACCGAACTGCTGGTTGCATCAGAAGAAATTGACCAGTGGTACACTGAAAACCATATGGAGTATTCATTTGGTCGGGTAGATTTGTATAATTTCGAGAATGGTTCTTCTGTAAGCTCTTTTTAAAATTTATATCTGGTAATAGTGTCTTTAACTATATTTTCAAAAAATTCATGAGATTAAACAACAACCACGAATTTAATCACGAATTTGGCTGGAACTCTGAGAAAAATAAATTAGGAGAAGGTAAACCTTGTTCTTTTTTCATTTTTTCTGATTCCATTGGATAAATAGATACTGCTGAGGGAAAGAAGTTTCTTATCAAGTATGCTATTTTTTACTCGAATTATACTAAAGAATAATTCAAAAGATCTGTGGTATGATTGCTTTATTGGCAATTCTCTTCGAAACAAATTTCACATGCTATATAAAACTGGCACAGAACTGTATTACTTGACTACATTACTGTAAAACTACATTAATTATCAAGTAATGTAATGTTGAAAATAGCTGTGATTCCCTGATCTGCTTCATCGTTGTATTCATCCTTTTTACAAATGGAGTTTTATCCTATATTTATGGAATGAATGTATGGCAGCATACTCATTTTCTCTACTTTCATATATTTACAAGGACTATCAAAAATACTGCACAGACCTGTTTGATGCATCCGTTTCATAATGCTTAAGTAGTTTCTGTTTTGCAAATAGTATTTCTATTGTGACTCAAGTTTTATTTCTTTTCCCCTTTCCTGATTTTATGTTTATTAAGCAAACTGACCAGTTTTTAATTCTTACTGTTTTTTGTCTTTAGATTCGTTCTGTCTTTTTATGACCGAATATTTCGAATGGATTATCTTTCTTGTTGTAATGAAGTGTAATGTGGTATCTCATTAATATCCTCCTTAACTTTGTTGTGTTGTCCCATTTTTGTTATATCAGTTCGAAATTCTCTCGAACATATGTGCAGAGCACCTAAGTTTTTTCAACTGAAAAATGTAAAGTGCTGAGTCCAATACGAAAGACGAAATGTTTTAACCTCTTGTGAGCAAGATTGCAATCCAATTTAAAACATACACCTTGCATGACAATACCGTATAACTTAACAATTTTGTGTGCTCAACAAACATGTAATATATCTATTTAGAAAACTTCCATGGAAAATATTTTTAGTTATATATTGTGTGTTTTCAATGTATGGCTGCAGCAAAACTGTAAAAAATATCAGACATCATTTTCCCGAGATACTGTTTCCTGTTTAGTTCCATTTCATGTGTAATATTTTTAATATGAAAAATGATATTAGCATTTTGGATGGTTCAGTCAACACAGTTCATCTAAGTCGACTCGGTGTCCTCCCAAGAAGTAAATGCTATGCTTTCTACGTCATCCTTACACGTTATAGAAAATAGTGTAATTCTATGCAGTTTTCTTACATTTTTCAGTGCATTTCATCTTTACCCTACCATGGCATTTTCAGTCACTATTAACGTTAGCCTCCTTACAAGTGTTGCTTTACCATTCATTTCGAAAATTTACGTAATTTCACCACCTTTTTCGTACTTCACTTCTCTGCATCTTTTACTGTTGATTGGATACCAACTTCTGTCATGATTTATGATCATCCAGCCATTCACCATCAGATGATATAGTACTGTTTAGTGCTTTTTTTGAAATCTGTGACCTTTGCTAAATAGATTGGGAAGAAAAAAAAGTTAAACAGATGAGCTCATTTGACGTATATTCCTAATATAGCATTTCAGTTTTACCTTACATTCCTTGTTTTACATAAATCAGTTTATCAGCCATATCTGGTCAAACACCGTAGTGCTCAAATATCATATCTGCTATGTATTTTCTTTTTTTTTTTTTTTTTTTTGCTAAAATCATCCTTTTCAGATATTTGACGAGTTCAGATAAGAAGTTACTGAATTTGATTTAAAAGTGTTTTTATTACATTCCTTAAATAGTTACTTATATTAAATGTCTTATAGTAAGTTTTTGTGTTTCATAACTAAATTACACTATGAAAGTACTAATTAATTTTTACGGATATTAGTAGAAGTATTCTTGCAATTGAAAACATAAAAAAGCGAATTTTGACCTGTCGTGTTATTGAGGTATGCTGAGATTGTTTTTGAAGGACCATTTTTAAAACTGGACGGAAAGTTATGAAGAAAAGTTCTTAAAAAAATACTTTTGGTCATCCATCTTTGAAAATATTGATCATTTAAAGGGAACTGACATTTTAAAGCATTCACGGTGTTAACACCATTGTTAGCTTAATAACCATTTAATAGTTGAAAGAGTAATAAAAAAGAACCTTGTAAATCTGGTGCGTTTTTTGCACAACAAAAATATCTACGGGCGTCGTTATCCCATAATACATCCTCCATCTTTATTTTCACCACTTTTCCCACTCCCTGTCACCCGTGCACATCACCCTAAATTTAGCAATTTTTTACTCCTAAAATTTTATGTGATAAAGAGGAAGTTACCATCTCGAATGTGTTATAAAGCCACAATGAATTAGATAGTTAACTTCACTTCTTTTAGTTCTTTTTTTCAAAGCTCTGCTCTTTGTTTTTCATGGTTTAACTAATCTTGTTCAGTTTCATGAAATTTTGTTAAATACAAATGGCGGCATAACTGTTTGTCCATGTTTATGAAACTAGAGAAATTTTTTCTAACAATTAATTTCCTTCGTAAAACTGAGTATATGATATTATGAATGTTATCGCAAAATTGAAAGTAAGCTAGAAGAACATATATGCCATTTTGTACAGTCCTGTGTTTCCACTTGTTTTCCAGCTCATCAGCAATAATAATATGAGTTTGTCATAGATTTTATAGTGTTTGTGAAACTGAATATTTCGATTTTTTCAAACCGTTAGAATTTCCCTGCGTTTCAGCCAACGAACGAAGTAAAGATGTTTGGCGAGCAGTCTATCAGTTCCAGTGTAAGTCCATTCAAAATCCTATTGTAATTAATGATGAGTACTATTAAGCACTTAATCAATTTATGGAAGCTTTGCATTCATCTCTAGAACTACTTTATATTGATATACCAATTGCACATTACAACTTTTAACAAGAAACCGCTGTACGGTGAGGTTTGCTTTCGTACTACTGTCTCTATCCTGAAAATGGTGTTTTGATTTGAAATCTTTCGTTTACTTTTATTTTGTTGTTTTTCATTCAAGAAATAATGTACTTTACAAAAGTCAAAAATTATCGAAAATTGTGGTAATAAGATGCAGTGCGAAGATGAATACCGATTAAATTGTTATCGAACTGTCAAACAGTACAGTATTTTATAGAAGTGCGAAACATAGGATATTCTGAAGAATTTCATAACTCTGTAGATAACTCTGCATTCCCTCTGTGTTGATTATGTAAATGAAGTGAAGCTGTATGTTTATAGAAGTGTTTATTCATCTCCATGACAGTTTATTCGTACAACATATATGTTCTCTTTTTTGTCTTTAAAATGCAAAAAAACTGTATTTTTAAGAAAAAAGAACTGATATTTTCATTTTTTAAGGTTTTCTTTTTTCTGTCTTAGTCTTATGTGACTTGGTTTACTTAACAGAAGAATATTTGGCCAATGGGTGCTTTTTAAAGATATTTGCAGTAGTAATCTCTGTGAATATCGACTGTTTTTCGTATTCGACTTTCCTCATTATTCTAGAAACATTTTTGATTACTGATTAAGGAATATTGTATTGTTCACTACTGTGGAAATTTTATTACTTTTGGATCTGGCTATGCTGTACGTATGAAAGACTTGTGCTGCTCTTCATGAAAAAACGATGCTAACACTTGTGGCGTTCACAGCCGGCATTTGGTGTGCAGTGTTTTCTATAACTTCAGTACATCACAACTTTTTTTTACTTTGAATAAATTTACTAGAGAACACTGCAAGTCGCCGAATGGATAGCACTCACAAATTTGATTTTCATCTAAAAAGTTTCCTTTCCATGTATATTTTGTACGTGTACATTAGGACTTGGAAATGTCCTGAAAGATCTTAGAAATAGTTGAAGCGTTTTTTTTTTTTCTTTTTTAGCTGGATGGAGTCTTTTTCATGTAGAGGTTGAATATTTTGCCTAAAGAAGTATCCTAGGTAAACATGGGGAATTCCTCAATGAAAGTTGGCAGAAACGAGTTAGCTAGAAGTACTTCATTCACTTCAGAAAAATGTTTCACCGAATTCAAAACCAAAAATCACTGCATCGGTAGCACCATTAAAACAGGAAGCAGATTTATCTCATCAAGATGAAGCCGAGAGGTTCGGGAGAAACGACAAAATGGATAAAAGTGGTTTGTGAATATCTTATAATTATGAGGTGATGTGTTTAATGACATCTATTCTCACAATCTTGTGTCTCTTAAACTGAAACGGCATTTGACATCGAGACTATCGTCTCTTATGTCACTAACTGAAGCATACTACCCTTTATTTAAAAAAACATTTGTAAGGATAGAAGATTGACTTGGGTGTTTATGTGCTGATGTGCATTTATGTGTTCATATGATTTTTGTGTTGCAAAAAATCTGAGCTTTTGCACAGAAGTTCATTATCAGTCCATTTTTCGGTATTGAGGACTTCTTGGTTTCAGGAATACCTGATATATTTAAATTGAGTGCAGGTGAGGCACGCAGTCGATTGGTGAGTCGTAAGAAAGATCCTCGACGTGACACTCAAATGAGTTTGAAGGAGAAATATAAGCTAGTCTCCAACATGTAATACGTTTTCTGTACCGTCTGTTGTAATCATTCGTGACTTCTTGAACTTCCTTTAAAGTGGATCATAAGACGACAGTCAAAGTGATGTGATGCATAAATTTTTAACCAATTTTGAACATGTTTTGTGATTCATTGCATAAGTAATCGTATTCTTATATCTGCTACTAGTCATTCAGTTTCATTTATCTATTCAGTCTCTGCCGTCAGCAATGTTTTTCGCTTCACTTTTTCAAACTTATAGTTTTACAAAAAGTTTGCATTGCAGTTCCTACATTTATATTCTAGCTATGTAGGACAGCTTTTGTTAATAGAGGTGTTGTTGAAGCATGGATTCGCAACGATGTTGTAATCTCGGTGAGCGCTTTATCTTGTATGTTTTGCTGCTGAACTATTGTAGAGGAAAAAAAGATACAGAATTGTAGCGAAATTCGCAAGATCCTTTTCGATTTTTTTTTTTTTTTCATTTCAATGATTAATCTATGGAGTTCGTAATGAACTTAGATACCACCATATTGCCTTATGACTCATTTTCAATATTAACTCTTTTATGTAATAATTTCTGCTTGTATTCAGTTTTATTGCTGTTTTGCTTGTGGAGAGATTTAATACTCCATTATGATTGTTATTGTTTATTATGTCATTTACCGACATATAAACTTATATTACCGTATATGGATTTGTAATTTCTGGGTTGTAATTCTGCCAGAGCATTCCTGTCCCACTATTTCCCTCACGTATTGCATTCAAGCATATATTGCTAAAGTGAACTTGTTGGCAAACTTACTAACATTTGAATATTTTTAGAAAAAAACACATATGCAATGAAATGGTAAGAGTGTTAGCCGATAATGTATTATGATATCTCTACTGCAACTCTTTCATTTTTTTAGTGCTGACATTGCGAGAGACAAAAGGTACGTTGTTTGTGTACTTAGCAGTCTTCTCACATGCATGCAATGCAAAGAGTACTGATAGAGAGTGAGGATTCGTTAGATAGAGTAAGGTGATGTTCATTGTGTCTTTGTGGTTCTTTGTATCTCTTAGATCTCAGATGTAATCCAGTTCTCTCTGTATTATGGACAACTTTCGGTATATGTGATGAATCTGGAGTACAGGAAATGTGCATTTGCACCAAACTTTCGTGATCCCGTCCTTGGAAAGGGATATGTATTAGCAGAATGGCTCAATTCGGCATCACAAATTGTGTGACCCACGCTTAGTAAATTTTCTTATATTTGTATCGTTAGATTATGTTTTGTATGAAGTTTTAGAATAAGCTCCGCTCCTATTTCTCTTTTTTTGAATAATTTAATCAGCTGCTGTGATGAATATATGAACTTGGTTTCGAGATGCTGAATGGCATCTTCGACCAAGAGTGTTCTGAGCCATTGATAAGTGATTTCATATTATTGGAGAATGAGCTGTAAAATACATCCCAAATTATAATTCTACGGACGCTTTCATGAATGGCAAGTAATTAAATGGATCTGTGGGTCTGGCCAAGACACTTGATGAGTAGTATTCGATCGCGGCTCATAGCTGAATTACATCAAATCCAGTCATTGGTCAGTTTGCATCTTGCCAGACTTGGGCTGAGGTTCAGCCCACTTCATCCATGTCATCTTCTTCATCATCACTATCACCTGTTTTACCGGTCATATCTCCTTACTTGCTTTCTTTGCTACAACAAGCTTTCGTATGCCCACCTATTCTGATTCCAACACCGGCTCGAAAATCTGTAAGCTCGTATACCATTCAGGATATCTTGTCCAACAGTTCGTCAGTAACACAAGTGAACTCTGAAGGCATGCTATTTCCACTTTATACTTTTTAAAATTCATTCGCTTCAGATTTGATGTGGACCATTTCATATCAATTTTTGCCCTTCACTGAAGTTTTCGACGAAATCACAGACTCTGGGTCACAGTTTGGTATTTATGTGAGCTCTTTGACTAATCATTAATTTGTCGATATTTATGCTTTCAAACTTTTGTTCCCAAAACTTAATTTTCTAGAAAGGTGTAAATGCATCGGAAAAGATTTGGAGTGGTCCCGAACTCAAACTGTTTTCAATAAACCACAAAAAAAAAAAGCGCGAACAACGTTCACTGGCCGACAAATTTTTGAACTTGAGAAACAGTTTGAGAAGAAGAAGTACTTGTCATCTTGTGAACGAAGTGAACTCGCCAAGCTACTCAATGTTACCGAAACGCAGGTATTACTCTTTTGTTGTTGATTCACAAAAAATTGTGTTCTGTTTGTTGCTAAACTTGTAATGGAAGTATAGGAGGACGGGAACAATTACTTTTATTCTTTTTTGAAAGTACTATCAACTGCTGGTAATAGACGATAGTTTTATTAGGAAAGATGTGTTCAGTAAACAGGATTTATTTATAATATTATTAGAATCTCTCATGCGACATTCATAATTCATAAATGATCTTAAAGCCCCAATTAACTGATCGTACAAGAGATATTTTTTCATTCTTTACTCCTGCTAGTAATAATTTTTGCAGTCTTATTCATTTCTTTTGCGAAGATAACAGTTTGTGAAAATGGAATCATTAATTTCACTTTGCAGAACTTTAACGATCGTTTTCATTTTTATAAATCACTAACTTGGGAAGTTTACTTTCCTTCGACAGTATCAGTTCAGTTACCATTATCATGATAATTGTTACGAAACTTTTTAAAATTATTTCACTTCTTAAAAAAAATAAGTTTTGGAAGAAACGAATAAAAAGATTTAATAGTGACTGATCAATATTTTATTTGTCTAGGTAAAGATCTGGTTTCAAAATCGGCGGACAAAGTGGAAGAAGGGTGAAATAGAAAAAAATGTGGTAGTCGAGGATTGTATTGTTCAAAACAACAATCAGCAGGACGAGATTGCATGAGCATCTTTGTTAAATATGATCGCTATTTTGCCATTTTTTTTTTTTTTTCATGTGGAGAAAAAAGGGATTTTCAAATTCAGCTTTTTTTTTTGTGGAAAATGGATATAAAAATGATGGCAGGATATTAAACAGTACATTGAGGGAGCACTGGATAATGGATTCAGAAATGCTGTGTATGTGGCGTGTTGTCTGATTTTAGTGTAAAATTGTCAACAGATTACATGAAACTACTTGCATTGATGGGACTGCTAAAAGTAGTTTTGAATCGGAATATAAATTAACACTTCATTTGCTAACGATGCTTCCTTCAAATGCCAAAAATATATTTCTAAATTGGCTTCAATCAACATTCAGTTCAAGTCGATTACAATGACTAATTTTTTTATTGCAAATGGATTACTTCTTCGTTCTCATCAGTAATTCCATCAATTTTGTTGCTGTGGTAAAATGGTTTGGTTGGTTCTTTTGTGTAAAATTCCAGGTTTGTGGAATTGCACTATTCGACACTTAGATATAAATTACTGGGACAAAGTATCTATTTTTTCCATAGAAAAGGAATAAGGGAAGAGCACAAGTATAAAAATAAAGGAAGAATGTAAATGTTTGGAGTTTTGGGATCTTTTTGCTTGGTCCTCAAGTCCAAAATAGTTATGGAATTAACTCTTAATTCATTATTATTTGTATTATAGGTGTTCATTTCATTCTTTAGACCAGAACTTGAAGTCTCATGACCTGTGTATAGTAATAAATTTTCTTTCCTCTTTAATTGTTAATTGCTATCAAATTTTTATATGTTCAAGCAAGCTAATAAGTAGTGTTCACAAATCTTGGCAAAGCTGGCTAAATTCATGGCCAAAGAGACTAGAAAAGGGAACACACTACTTTTCAATCCTGTTACTACCTTACCATCTAAATTGGTGAAATCGCAAAGGATGATTTCAGCAGTCAAATTATTATGATAATCATTATTATCCCCTATTGTACTTTCTGCGTTAATGTTGGATCCGGTTTATAAGAATACCCCGAATCTCTTCAATACTTTTTTCATACTAGATTGGAATGAGAATTAACATATAAAGATAAAGGCAACATTATTCAGTTTAACTCATTAAAGATTGATCGTTATCTTACTAGCAACTGCTAATTACCGTTATTAGAATTTTGGAGAAAACTAATTCAGAATGCAAATGACATCAATCTAAGGGGCACATTTATGGATCACTAATGTCGAATTTTTGGGTTGAAAAGTGGAATATCCTTGAAACGACACCATGTTGTTAAATTTGCTCGACATGGTTCCGTTAACCAAAGGTACCATTCACCTTCTTTCTGGTCGCGATATTTTCCGTATGTATAGTATTTTTGACATAGATGATTATTCTGAGGTGATTTAACCAAAACCTGTAAAATATGTAAACCCGTAAGAAATTCGCTTACCAATCAATCTGTTTATAACCGGCTTTTGCTGCTGCTAAAATTTGGCAACTTGCACACTCAGAACTCTTTTATGGGACATTTGTCACATTGTCATTTGGAAGGAATAAGTTTCATGTAACTTCCATGCTAGAACGAAGTTGCTAGATTAATAAGCTTAAATTAGACATTAAAAGATGCTGGCGTAATTAAAAAAGATAGAGGAAGTAATGACAAAGAGTTATATGTAATACTTAGCGCGTGATGTCCTTAACAACAAATTGAAAAGTGGATTGAAGTAATTAACTAATTAGTTCGGTAGGGGAAGAGGAAGTTATGTCAAAACAATAAGTGAGTAAAGAATTGAGAAGTAACAGAAAGCTTATTGTCGGATTCACAACCAATAGGGCATGCTAGTCTTGTGGAATTCTGTGCTAATATATTTCTGCTATTGACTGGCATCTGCTCACGGCGGCACTTGTATTTAGTAGGATCTCGAGGTATTTTGGCATTTCGTGCTATCAACGTGCATTGATCTGGTTCTTTCTCTTGTGTCGTGCAATCGATCGTTCGTTCTTCTGAAACAAATATGCTCTCAGGAGTTTTAGTAATTTAGAAAAGAGTGATAAGCAGAAAACAGAATTCCTTTTGCTTGATCTCCCGATAAAGTCCCTCGTTTAATCCAACTGTGGGCATTAGTTACAACAATGATTTTTATTTGCTAGGTACAGTGAGTAACGGGTACAGCCCCTTATTCCTTTATTAATTTGTTTTGAACACTAAAGGATTTCCTGAAGACAATTATGGAGCAGTTTAGCAAACTTTTGCATTTTCCGGGTAAGAGCAAAACTTTGCAGGGATATGTTTCCTTCCAACTTTCTCCGTGGAATAAAAGAGAAATTTACTGCTAAGTCTTGTCTTTTATATGCTTAAAAAAAATTTTTCAATGAGCAAACCCCATCGTGACCATTTAAAGCCTTCCAAGGTTTCTTTTCTATTTTGTCCTCTGACCAGTACGTATGACACCATTAAAATAAGGTACCAGGTTACTGACATCTTGAGGAACAAAATTCAGACTGTTTTCTGCAAATGAAACACTTTTGCAATAAAATCTGATAAAAAGCTACTTAGTGTGTGTTCCAAATAAATTTTATTAAAAAGATGTAAAACGGTAAACAACCTGATATGTTGGTGATAGTGATGAAACAGATTAAAGTGTTCAACAGACCGATTAAGTTTGTAAAGTGAAGTTGAGCACTGTGGCGATCACCAAATGGTGATATCCGAGGAACTTCTTTTATGGTGATTGTGAGTACCAGTTATCAGACTGGTCGATATAGATGTATTAACTGTTGAATACTGGTTTCCCTTCTAAGATATGCATTGAAATTGACCCGAAAGACCGCATAGAAATCACTTGAAAAAATTTTTAAATATATTTCACGAATATGCTGAGTGATTTGATTAAACTCATGGACTTCTTTTACAGGTTTGCCGACCACTATAAGGCGCAATTTAAATTAGAAACTTTCCATAACTATATAGTAAAAATAAGATTTAGAGCATAACAAACTTGTTGTATAATTATTATAACGACTAAGTTACAACAATTCTAAATCTATCGAATAAGATTTTAGGGTACTTCGATTAAGGGTCGCTTTGATAAGTGAAAAAATTTCTCCTCAAACAATGCGTTGCTGTTGGTGTCTGCGTTCCTTTTCAGTACTACTATATCAACAAAGTTGAAATAATATTTTCCTAACATTTCCTATAGCCCAGACAGTCCATCAAATGAAATTAACTGAAATCTTTTTCCTGCCAACAATTCCCGAATTTCATCTGCGAGAACTGTAGCACGTGATCCAAATTAAATATTGTGATTAGATAAAATGGCTTTGAAACTCTAATTAGGATTTTTGGAATCTTTTGTACATTTCCATACATTAATGTCTATATCTAAGATTCTAAGATTAAAAAACTTGTTAATTTTTTACATATTGCTGTCATTAGTTCTATTCAATAGATTTTGGATTATGGAAATCGAGTTTAGTTAAACAATATTACTGTAATGTGTTTAAAAAAGAAGAGGCTATTTGGTATATGAGAGTTTAGGAAGTGAAGCTTAGAGATCTGTTGTGTATCGGTTATTCAATTGAGTAATCGTTTACTCGGCTATGATATGATTATTAGGAAACAGAAAAGCGTATTTGCTTGTGTTTGTTAAACCCAGGCATGCAAAGAAATCAATCAAACCATGATTGATTTGGAAAGAAAGTGCCTTGATTAACGCTTGCTGTCGTTTTACCGGTGGCCTGTTTATCGTTCCAACTGCATTGTTCATAGTTTTACATCATTGGTCAACAAAGTCATCTTTTCATTTCTGATTTCATTCTATTTCATTTCGCGATTTATAGTATTAAGTAGCAAATGATAATGGTGTTTTTTGGTGATAAGCGACTTTTATTTATACAATGGATAACATGTGCTATCGGAAGTTCATTTCGTCATTGTATAACAAGAAAATCATGAAACATAACAATGGTGAAAGCAGTAGTAAACATGATGAAACTTGTTAATTTCTGAAATCGATAATATTTTTGTTACTTCATGGTTACTTATATTACATAAAGAGATTTCGATCTCTTCCAGTTTTATTAAAGAGGGAAACTTTTCAGTTTAGTTTTCTTCCCTATGCTTATATTCAGAAGTTGAACAAATTACAAAACCTAAAGTTACATAGATCTTGGTTTACTGATATTCTTCTGGTTTTTGAAGAATTGAATAAAGATTATAAGTGAATTGAAGTAAAGGCAAGGGCAATTTGTATTTCTTAACTTCAATAAATTATGTGCTCAGTTTTGATAGTACTTCTTTCGATTACTTGATAATAAGAACTTTACTATGCGTCTTATTTGCGATTAAGTGCTAAAAAACATTGTTTTCATATTAAACAACGCACTTCATTGTCTTCTGAAATAAAATATTTACGAATTGTAAAGAATGTTTTTTAAATTCTATATTTTCAGCGATAAAGGTATAGGTCGTTTGTATCTGCTTAGCTTATGATCAAGATAAATTGCAGCACAGAAGGAATATTTTTATCTCAGTCATCTCAACGAAATACTGAATGGTATTCATTTAAAAATTGGTTTACCATAAAACTTTGCAACGAATTTGATGTATTACCCTGATGTCATCTACTGTGCAATTTGAGAAAAGTGCCGATATCATGCGATAATAATGATGCAATTTTGCAAATAAATATATATATATATATATATATATATATATATATATATATATATATATATGATGTTCCCGCAACTAATTTGACTGAATCAACATTAGAAAGTAAACTAATTTTATCTACTTCAATCCTTTGGAAGAAAAAGACCGGACAGATAGTACTTTTTGTTTTTTAACTAATTTTAATAGAAAATATAACAACGCAGTAAAAATAACAAATTTCTCTTAAATCTGTCATTTGCTTATTACAGAACACATTGATGCAATGAAATTACTGATTCTTTTTAAAGAGCGGATTATTTTAAATAACTTTTCTTCTCTGTTTTGCTTTTAACTGATTACTTTATTCAATTCTGATTTAAGGGTCGATTTCTCAGACTAGTCAGTGATTCATTTTATCGCTTTCTATGATCACAAAAGCTTTAGTTACGATTTGAGGAATATATTTATGTCTAATATAACTATTCATTTAATATATCTATTCTATCTATATCTATGAAGAATATGTTTAATATATCTATTCACTTTTCACTTTGCAATCAATGATATTTAAAGGATCTTCTCAGTGAAGTTCAGTATGGTAGAAACATGGAAGGATGAGGCCGTCTTGCCTCTCGTGATATGTTCAATTGGCACTTGAAATGGCAATTAATCACACAGTGTGCGTCTAGCGTTTCCAATTAACTAATCTTCGAAGAAAACTTTCTCGACAACAAGCCATTATCCTAACACCCACTACTCACCCACTGTTCCATTTGTCCTTAATTGCTTTATCGTCCACCAATTTATTTGTTCGTTTCTACATATAATATGCATATAATATGTTTATTGCAGCTCGAAAATGCAGATATATTCTCACATACATGACATATATATGCATGTATGTAAATATATAGATCCGTTTTATACAACAAGATGCTAACTGGGAAGCAGCACAAAAATATTGTCACTCTGCTTTAATAGCATCTGAATACGACTACGAAAATGTATTTGCTGTCGTCGTCTTTTGAGTTGTCTGTTGTGCATGTCTTACTTCAATTATATGAATTTCATTTTCTCCATAAATTTCTAACCCTTTCGATAATTTTAGTCTTCCCAGAAAGCAACTTTTGGTAATTATAATCTTTTTGAATATCATAACGTGTACCACCACTCACTGCTTATTCGTTACTTTCTGGTCAAAATCATAATGAAAAAAAAAAAAAAAACGCGAACTACATCACTTTTATATAACATAATGAAGCTTTGTTATAAATATTTCCCAACTTCCATTAATTATTTGCTGTTGACATCGTAATCTACGATTGCAAAAGATATTTGGTAGTACAAATTGAAAGTCATTCATGAACAAACTCTTCATTAAATTTTGTTAGGAAAGAATCTGCAAATTGCTTTGGGTCTCTATTCTATGTGTGTGCTCGCTATAGACATTTTCTACAAGGTGTGCTATGAAAGACTTAACTGCAAAACTTAATTGTGGAAGAAACAGTTCCTGTTTATCACCTCCACTACTCTTTAGGAATAATAATACGCACCTAAATTTCTATGAAGCCTACTTGCAAAGCAACACCAATTCTTGGTGTTAACGCAATTACATGCCAATACTCCAAACAAGCTTATGATCCTTCTGTTCTTGAGGGAAGTTTACCATTCCAGTATTTGATTTCACATTACTACAGCTACCACTTGTTGTAATCATTAAAAATTGATTCTTTTAATGTTTATGTTAAAGAAGAAGTTATGAAATGTGCATTTTTTTTTGAGCCATTTACTTTTTTGTGATTTCCTAGAATGTAAAATAGCAGCTGAAAACGTGAAATTATTCCAAATCAAATTAAGGACAGCAAGGTGGAATGAATATAAATATCGGTCAGGCAAAATCAGCAAAAAAAAAATCAAAACAGTGGAAGCGATTTTTATTTATGGCTTGTAGATTAATTCAGTATTTAGAATGGGTGCCTCCAGAGACAGTGTACAGTGTGATTTGCAGAGATACAGACAGTCTTTGTTTATCAATATAAAACAATTTCACAAAGCAACCATCTGTTGGCATTAGTCCAGCATACATTTTCTTTTCTCCTTCCTTCCATTCCTTTATGATATCAGTTTAAAAAAAATCAGGAAGAGGGAAATAGCAAGCTGAAATTATTATATTATTACTTGCAATTAAATCAGGATCTAATGACATCATTCTTCTAAATTTTAATGAGTAAATAGCGGAACTTTCCGCAGCTTTAAGAGTTCACCGCCCTCGATTATGTACACAAAGTTTATTTCTTTCAATGCCAAGAAGTTGTAAATGTAATCTTGGGAAAATAAAGCAATCATATTTCATTAATGATAAGGAATTCCATTAACTTTTTGCCTACGAGATTGATTATCACTGAATACTTTGCACATTAATGGTAAGAAACACGGCACTACCAAAATTTATTAGTTGAAATCATGAAGCATAAACGGTTTGAAGCATAAAATGAGTCACAATGACGGAATTGTGCTTATCAAAACAGTTAATTCTGGACTTCGAGATTACTGCTCTAAAACTGAGCATTATTTACTTAAAGACTAGAAAAAGTAGTCCCTCGATCCTAAACAAAGAAGAAAAAAGTAGAGCTGATTCTATTTCAGACAAGTGAAGCCGATAGTTGAGATGCAACACCTGCGGGTATTCACAGTGAAGTTTCAAAGAATATCGAAACATTCCCAATAAACAAAAACAGTCACTTTGAAAATTTCGATAGCCTAAGTTACATCCTCCATCTAGGTATATTTTTGAACGCTGTCATTTTCGCTGCACTGATATGTATGAAACTTTATTCGTTAAAGATGAAAGGCTATTAGTGTCTCCTTTTTCCTTCTTGTCTTTGTCATCAGTTTTCTGGAAGATGTTGTCGTGAAATTTGGAGTTCAGTCTGAATATAACTCGTGGCTTAGAGTCGAATTAGACTTTCATATGCTCAAGAGCCTTCCTTGTTTGTTATTATAGTTAGCATAAATGAATGCGTTGAATGAAAGGTCTGTTGTAACGATTTTATTCGCTAGCGTAGAGTATCAACAAAAATAAGTCGATGAGGAACTTAGAAAAATTAAATGAACTATGAGTGAGGAAGAGCAGCCGAATTATAGCTTGCTGCTAAAAAAACTGATTGAGAAAAAGGATTTTTAAATGCTCTATAATGGGCAAACTGATTTGCAACAAGTGCCTAATTACATTGAGTAAAGAGCTATCAGATGATCTTTACTCTTCATATAATATGAGATGATTTTAATATTATCAGCTCCTCCAACAATGACTATTAAATTAGAAAACCTTTACAATATTTCGACATTGTAAGCAAATTCGATTTGGAACAAAGGAGTAGTTTTTAACATAATAAACAATGCACATACTCTTTGTTAACAGTTAAAAACAAAATTTTTTTCTAAACAATCACATAAGCTCAGCTACAATGGGAGGATGAATGCTGGAATAATGATTGCTTAAATCAGAAGTAATTTGAAACAGTTCTACATTTTTTTCAAGAGTGTTCAATTAAGATACATTTTAATATTCTGGATTAATACAATTTTCGAGTTTCGCGATAGACGTAGTTTGTGAAGAGCTGAGCTGAGTTACAGCGTACAGTCATCTTAGGAATTTTAATCAACTCTTATATCAAACAACGTTTTTTTCATGCGCTTTTCATTCGCATTGCTCACATGTAAGCTTTCCCTTTTTCAATAACGTTTACTTCCTTTTTCTTTGTATGTTTGATAATTTATTCTTACTCTTGTCGATGTTATTCCGGAAGCGATTATTTCAAAATTAAAAGAGTTATGTTTGATATAGCAGTTGAGTAAAAAAAGGTTCCACAATTTATCTCCATCGGCTGTTCTTTGCATTTTGCAATTGTTCAAAATTTTAATCTTCTGCAGGTTTTTGAAGTAAATTGCAAAATTTTTGTTAAAAATTTTGCAATTACTTTCAGTATGTGGAAACGAGGCGAACTTTGATTGTAGGAAATCTAAGAGATTTTTGATTATTTTAAATACGCAAGTTGTCTTTTACAACCTCCTAAAGATTATGATTATTCATCCTAAATTTTTTTTTACGTTTATCTCTTATAGTTAAAAGATGATATGGAGGAGAAGCTATGACTACAGCACAGCATAAAGAAGTGAGAACTGTAATACTTGAAAAAGGAAAGACATTGTGGTTCAAACAAAGGATGAAATTAGATAATGCGATATGTGTTGCATTGGTCTGGAGAACAACGAAATAAGAGTACTGCACCAAATTAGAGATTATCAGTAGTGCATTATATCTGAGCAAATACATATTTCAAAGTGATGAAGAAGTCGTGATCGCTCTAATTTATCTATTTAAGTTAGGAAATGACGATAAAAAGTAAAAAAAGGATTTCATTATCTTTTTGACTTAAAACGATATGCAATAGGTAGCGAAGTGAAACAGTTTAAAAACAAAGAATCAATATCGAAATAATAAAAGGCGTATTGCGATAGAAAGGAAAGCGGCGTATGATTTTACTCATTAGAAATTAATGAAGTACTCTGGACAGATATTTTCTTAACGTGTGGTTTATATTTTCTATTCATAAACAATTGTTTTTTTTTTTGAGAGGGGAATCACTTTATTCACATGTCGAATATACGAGTACATGAGACATACAGACGGGAAACAATCTGAGGAGACAGACTGAGGTAGTAGGAGAAATAGATAAAATGGAATGTTCATATTTTAATGTCTACACACCTATATAATAATACTTGCCTAGAGCTCAGTTGGTTCTCTATTTCTATTAATTTAACCCAACAGTTACCCCCGTTAACGTTGCCACCACCAACATCAATCACTTCATGTAGCTTATGTATGTCTCTATGTTAAGTGTACTTCTCTCATTCATTCTATCTAATTTTTTGAAAGACTATCGAGCGATTCAGTATTCTCAGTGTGGCGAATTCTCAATCGGCAGTAAGCTAACAAATCTTTGACATGTCAGTATTTCTTTCCATTTAGTGCCTACTAGATATTTAAATCTTTAGTGTCCACTACTTTGCCGATTGTGCCTCTGCTTTCTAACTATCTATCTGATAATTTTTGTTATTTGTAAGCAGAGAAAATGTTTCATGAATCTCAACGTTACCATTGGCCAGATGGAATTAATGGACTTTTTAAAAAAAGAAAAAGATACTGACATGCTTTAGAAATGAATGGTTCTCTTGTAAATTATCGCCAGATCTGTCATCGAGCTATCAGTAGAATTGGTGCATTCGGAATTTTTAAAAGTCAGCTGTCGGTTTGTGTGTTCTGAAGGTCTTCAATGATAACGTGTTTATGCTCAATAGCCAACAATTCTCTCGCACCAGTTGCCTCAGCTAACTCAATAATCATCTATCGTTGCGCACATTTGTCTCTCTCAACTCCATCTTTGAATTTATTTCTTATTTCTGTTCTTATTGAACTTTTGCAAATACCTGTCGTACCAAATGCCTTTTCATTTACGATATAATTTCTTTTTGTTCAGAAATATACTTTAATAAATTTGGATATGAGTTAGTCAGTTTCCAGATGATAATTCTTAACTGCCAATTCAAAGTTAGATCGCTGGTTTGTCTCAATTTTTAACTTCCTTTTCGTTC